CAAATTATCGGCTTTTAAGCGTTATTTGCATCAGTACAAATATTCAGTGGTATAACAAGATTTTATAATGGCTATAATAAGCTAAATACGCGAAAACTCAAAATTGCCAAAATACAGATACAAATATTTTACTATTTCCATTAATGCAAAATGTTAAAAAACAATGTTAAAGATCAGCTTAGAGAAAATCTTCTTATATTACAACTTTATATGCAAATTGTGTAATATTAATTGTTTTCTGTTTTATAGATTAAAATAAAGGCCGAGATCCTGGATGAAATTGAAAATTTTTCACCCAACGACGAGCTAGATATCGAACAGTACGTCAAGCACAAACCATCGGAAGATGTATCGCGCCATGAAAATTCTGAACAGACCCCAGAATCGGACTGTCAAAGAAATGCAAGCGTTTCACTTTCACAAAGAAAAATGGACGAGTACACTGACTTAAAGGAATACATCGTGGCACTGACAAGAGGAAAGCTTTTAATGTGCAACGTCGGCAGGATCGAATTTCCGAACGAGGTCGAGTTCAAGACTCACATGATTGGACAAAGCCATGGAAAACTTTTCCAATGCGGATTTTGCTGGAAGCAATTCTCTAGGTATGAAAGGTATCCGAATAATAGGAACTCTTATTTTGGCCTTGCATTGTTTATGGAAGAACATTGATGCTTTTGTATTAATAAAATATTTTGCACATCATTAATTTTAATTAAATTAGAATTAGATCCGCGATCAACATTACTAATTCACACACGTTTAGAGAAAGATATATTATATATAACGTTTAATATTCTTTTTTCTATGAAGCAAAATATAGATATTATTACGATTTTGAAATGTATTCTCCAATATTATTGTTTTTTTACTGGCTTGAAATGACCTTCGTCGCTATATAATACTTGTTACTAATAATGCAATTATCATTTCCATCAAGATCGTCAACCTTAGAGAATCACCTGCATATGCATTTTATTCCGAAGCCTTTCGCGTGCAGACAATGCGAGCTCCAATTTCAGGTAGTTAATGCTAATAACCATTCGTAGATGTAATGATCTTAATATCAGATCTTTTCGAACTCTTTGCTGCACAAACTGACGCGCTTACTTTATATTCAGACTAATGAGTGCTTAATGAGAGATGTACTCTGTTGCATGACAAATTGCAATCAATCTATCTATAATCTATCAAATAATCTATTACAAAATTAATCAACGTAAGAGTCTAAAAAACATTTAACGTAAGAGTCTAAAAAACGACTTTAAAAGATGTGAAGACGATCAGACGATACCTTTCGAATATCCTCTAAACAATTCTCGCGTGTCACTTACAAACTGTTTATTTATTCCAATAATTAGTAATTAGATATCACTATTACAGACGCAACATGCATTGAAGAAACATGAATCTGAAGCACATTTTGGCAGAAGACGATTTAAGTGTTCCATCTGCAAGAAAAAATTGATACGCTATCAATCGCTGCGCGATCATAAATTGATGCATATTAATGCGAGACCCCACGAATGCGCGACTTGTGGCAAAAGCTTCCTGAGGCCCAGCAGTCTCCGGACCCATATGATCGTCCATACCGCGGACTTGCCTTTCGCCTGCGATCTCTGCCCGGCGAAGTTCAAGAGATCATCGGTGCTGAAGACGCACAAGCTGACGCACACCGGCGTGAGAAGATTCGAGTGCGACATCTGCAAGCATCGTTTCCACCTGAAAGGCGCACTGAAACATCACATACTGGCGCATTACGGTGAGCTTGTGAATATTCTCACAACTTCTTTGCGCCCGGCAGAGGAAGCCGAAGGTGTCTGCCGCCTGATTAGACCGTTCTGCCGCACGAGATCTCGCTATTTATATCTCTGTTACCTTTCCACCTTTCCTTTATCGCGCGCCGTATAGCCGCAGGACCATTAACTTCTCATATAAATCCAGCGGAGCGTTTACTCTGCGAAACGATCGCCGCGGACAAAAGAATTTTTCGAGATAATCGGAAGCTTGGTTCGCAACGCGTACAAATGATCATGCATAAACGTATTTTTCAACCTGCCTAACGTATACGCATATGTTGGCGGTTCTTGCGCGCGACCTGGGCGTTCCGCGGCGGAAATGTATTCCGGACTTTTAATTAACCTCTGTCTAACCGGGGTGAACGTATGGAAGCAAACTCCTCGCCGCCGCGAATCAACTTGCTATTATACTTATCAACCTGTTTAAAAAATCCATTCTTCCGCAGCTTCGAAGATATTACGGTTATTAATGTCGCACTTCTGTGATTTATACTTTGCATACAGATATCTCAGTAATTATTAGTTAGCAGATAATTTATATGTATTCATATGTATGCAATTTCTCTCTCAAAGAATATATTTCACATTACATAAGAATATATGTATATAATATTTTCTTTCTACAATGTTAAGATTTCTAATTTGCAAGACGTTAAAAAGAAACGATTAAAAAACCGAAAATGAAACTCTTCTGTATTTGACGCCAAATATATGAACTATTTAGGATAAGTCTAATTTTTTAATCAAATTCTTGAACTTTATTATAAGATTTGAAATACTTTAGAGACCTCATGTGTTTTTCGAATTCTGCAAAATACAAAAAGATTAACAACTTTCTTCGATTTGTAGGTATCAGGCCCTACAAGTGTGAAGATTGCGGCAAGAGCTACAGAAGATCTTGGGGTTTGAAGGTGCACCGATATTGGCATACCGGCATAAAGCGATTCGAGTGCGATTTCTGCAAGCTGCGCTTCAGCGTGAAGACGAAGCTCGCGAATCACATTTACACACACACCGGCGAGAAACCTTACAAGTGTAATATCTGCGGACGTCAGTATGGTGAGAGGTATCAGTTGAAGGCGCACAGATGCACGGCATTACATGGCAATCCGTTGAAATTGAAAACTGCTTAGATTTTATTCTTTTCATCGAAATTATTGAAAAGTTTGAATAGAGAATATAAGAATAAGTTAAGACTGGCGCATTATTGAGCGTACAATATTGTATAATGAATAAAAAAAAGCATTGAAGAATATTGTATAACTTGTAAATTTTGATTTTTCCGTTATATCGAAAACTTACTGAATATACTGAGCTAATAGCACAAATGTCGAATTTATAAAAATTAATCGGAAGAATTTATACATACCTATCGTGAATTTCACGGTACGACTTAAAGGCCTAGATACTGTCCGCGTGATTAATTTAATTATCGTCGGTCGCGATTGCTTGTAATAAAACTCGTTCCTCGGCTTGATACAATGGCTGGCCGCCATTTCATTCGCGATCAGATCTACCATCACGGATCCTATCCGCGTTTGCATGCCCGTGAAGCTTAATAAGGCATGGCCTTAATAAGCACTTCGCCGCAGAACAAAACACCGATTAATCCCACAGCCTGGACCGATACGGATTGGTTTCGAGCTCGGAGCTGCCGACTCGCGCGGGATAGGTCGGCTTAGGTTCGTCATCAACTATCGTATATAATCACAGTCTTTATTCGATATTGCTCGAACGTGACCGCCGGGATCATCGAACGGTGCAGCGAAATTAATGCAACTTTCCAAGACGTAACGCAGTCCTTTGGTAATAATTATTTACTTCGAAGGGGCATACACTCACGTTTCGTTATAACGGCATAATCTACATCGTACTATAGATATCCGATATAATGGTTTACGTAACTTATATGAAGAAAATAGATTTTTATCGACGGCATCTAAAAATTAATTGCCTCTGTCTTAATCTCGTAAAAAAAACCTGCGTTGTCAGACATGCAGAATAAATCATATTGCGATATTCATCTTTGCTACTTTCTTAATAGATAAGTACCTTTAGTCAACAATAGTCAAAGTTAAGTAGCAACTTTATCTTTACTATTTGCAATTGTTTAAACAGACGATTTATTAAGAGAAAAGCCAATAATTTTCTGTGTATTATAAGTAGTATAAGTAGTATAATACCATACAATTATTTAAGATATTAACATAGTGGTTCTTTAGTGACCGCCTCTCGAGAATATCTCGAGCACGTGGGTCCTGCTTATGTCGCCGCACGTGAGAATGGTGCTTTAAGGTGCGTGGACACAGCAGGGGCTCGTACGCGGTATACCGAGATGCTCCGCTTCTTATCAGATCGCATCTCTGATTCGCGTGTCTTGCGGCTAAACTCTTTGACAATGCCGACACGTATCTGCCTTCTGACCCCGTTTCTCTATTTCGACGCGGTAGGAAGCATGCAAAAAGAAAGTATTTTCACCATTTAAATCGTACTTTCAATTATGGAGACTTTTCGAAAGAATAATGCAGAAAAATATAAAATAAAATAATACAAATATATATATTTTAAATTTACTTTCGAATCTGATATATATATGCTATTGTGTGAAATACTACTGAAAAATGTCAAGGACAATATATAAACAATTTAAAAAATTTCATAAAACTTACGTCGATGTCGTGCCGAAAGACAAAATAGTTTTTAAGAAGTAGTATTTACCAATAGTAATTTAATTCGCGATAACAATTTAATCGCATTGCCAATACTTGTGCTTTAAAAATTGCATGCGTGCTTCGTAAAATTCACAAATGTCTAAATACTTATTTTTATTCCCGATTGATTTATATAAGATTAATGAATTAATTCTATATAGAAAAAAAATTATTCTAAAATGAATGACAATTAACATATCCTATCCTCGATATATCGCTTAAGAGTTATGTCTTCATCATCAGCAGACGAGATTCGTTCTGCTTGAGCGCGACTCGGACACAAGGCTTCCTCGCAACAGCGCGATTTAAATACGCGGATTTCGCGTTCATATCTCTCGCCTAATTATGCCCGCGCTTCGCGAAATCTACGATCTGACTGTTCGCGTACGAACGTTACACACAGCGGCACGCAGAGAGTCACGCCAAGTCCTAATTATTTAGATAGCGATCATAGTGGTTTAATTATTCCCACTCCTTTCTATCGCTGCTCCGTTCGCCGGTATGGTAATGGCACTTAATGCAGATAGCAACACCGATATTATTTGCCGTACCGGTTACTAATTGCAAGCTCGCAATTATTACGCGCGCATCCAACGAACGATGGATTTGGAAACTCGGAAAATACGTAACGACGGCAGACATCATCCCCGTTACGTTATGCATTTCTGTTATATAATACGGTCAGCTGACACAATACGCGAAATGCTTATTTAATGTAAATTTGTTAATTAGAAGTAGATTAATATTGTAAATTACGGAGCGTTATAGCAAAGTAACGTTACGTAAAGAATAAATTTTCTTACATCTGAAATATACGTGATACCGTACATTTGTTAAGTATCATATTAATCTTAATTATCTATAACGGTATTGAACGTAAAGAAGGATTACATAATTGCCGGTCAATCTATCTGTTCCGCTCAAGTTGGACTGTTCTCAAG